ATTATTAATTTAAGATTTATATTAACAATCTATTGATTTATAATTATTCATTCTAAATTTTGATATACTAATGTAAGGGAGAACACAAAGATTAAATGGAATGTTGTGTGACTTAAATTTTTGTTAAAGCATCCTATATTTATTCAACTTAACGATGACAAGTTTCACATAAGATATTTGATCTTAGTAATTTTATGTCCACAATTTAAACAACAACAACTTTTTCTTCTGATTTATTATGCATTTCTGCTTTACATTCTCTCTCCCTTCTAATTTTCGATGTAAATTAATTTTCATGATAAAAATATACTTATCTGTATTATGTGTTATAAAATTAATATAACTAAAAAAAATATATTTTAAAATATTAATTTTTCTAATAAAATAGTTTGAAACTTGTATAAAAATTTATATATCAAATTTTTTTGTTATTTTCAAAATTTGAAAAGTAATCTGATATCATTTTTTTGATAGATTATTCATCAGTTGGGATTTGAACAATTTTATTTTAATCAAATTCTAAAATTTAAATAAGCTCATTATATTATTCTTCAAAAGTAAAAATATTTATAGATTATGCTAAATGATGCATTTTGTGTTCTTTTAGTGATTCATTTTCATTTTAGTTTTGGGATTTAAAATAAAGATGAAATTATTTTATTTTCATTTAATTTAAAAATGTTTTAGAGAGATAGAAGATTTCGTTTTAAATAAGGTCACCAATTATTTCCTCTAATTTAAAGTTAATTTTTTAATTTTTTTGATAGTCTGAAACTATTTACAATTATTTCTTAAATAATAATAATATATTTTACTTAAAAAGCCCTTTTCTATGTGATATATAGTCTTTTAATATGTTTCTATTAAACTTGAATTGTTTCAGTATTATTATTTAAATATAGCCTAATTTATTCTTCCAAAAATTATCTATTAATTGCATTTACTTCATTTGTAATTTATAAATTATTCCAATACTCTTAAGTTTAAAATACAAAATGATATAAATTGAAAATGATTGAACATTAATATCCACTTAATAGAATTTGAATTAATTATAGATGAGAAATATAAGACCCACAATTCATAAAATCTTTTTGATTTTCCATAGTTTAAAGAAAACTTTGATTTTTCATAAATAACCTTTCAGCAATAGAATGCTTGGCCATATAGAATTCTATTATCTTTTCTAAAAAATTATCTATTGGCCTAATCTATATTTTGAATTATTATTATTATTATTTATCCTGAAGGTTTTAATTATGAGGAATATCACCATCTATTGGTTAAATTAGTATTGAAGATTGATTATTACTATAATTATAACTTTAAATAGAACTCTATTATGTAATATTAGACCTTTAAACATCTTTTATTGGTTGTTGTAATACTTTATTATTATTATTATCGAATTAATTTGATATTTAGACATTAGATTATTATTGAATATTTGAGACAACCTGATTAGATATTGAACTTGGGATTAATTATGAACTCTAGTTTGATTCACTTGTTAATGTAATTTATGAGCATTAATAAGGAAACATTTAAAATAATTCTTCCCAACTTATTCTAGAGGATTCTTCAAAAGCTAAAGATTAATTTAAAAATTTCAACAATTTTTCTTTTTCTTAAACAGTACCTCCTCTAAGGGTTGGAGGTAAATTATCAATTAAAACATTCTAATCTTTTGTTTTTCTTGTAGCTCCAAATATATTTTATCTATCAAAATAAGGGGATGGAATTTTTTAATAAATAAGTTCATATATTATGATACCAAGCTATATTTAATAGTTATAATACGCTGTAAACATCACATTTATTAGAATAATTATCTCCTTTAAGTACTTATGGAGCAGCATAAGATGGTGTTCCAATTTAACTCTAATTTGCAAGAAGGTTAGGATTATCTAGAATTTTTGACACACCATAATCAGTAATCTAAATAAGGTTTAGATTATACCTAAAAATATCCATTATTTCCAAGTAATATATTGGCTGGTTTTAAATCTCTATGAATAATTCTACATTGGTGAAGCTCTCTGTAGCCTTATATAATTTAGTCTAAAATAGATAATATCTCTTCAATTGTCAAATAAGTTGTCCTTTTTAGTTTTTATTTAATAAAATTATCGAGATCTCCTTGTTAACAATATTCCATAAAAATATAGCATTCTTTTTCCTATTAATTTACGTGAAGTATCTTCACAAGATGTTTAAAATCAATTTTCATTAGTATCTTTATGATTTATATTTCTCTTTCAAACAATTCTACTTACTCCTCGGTTTTAGATATAATCTAAATTTATAAATGAGTTTTACTTTAACACATTAAGGTATTTTATATTTTTAATTATTGCATTTATAACACTTTGAAAAATTTCCACGACCAAATTGAGAGTCCAAATCTATAATAAAACCATCAATATTTTTATATCTGGATGACATTTATTGTTAAATAAATCTAATTAATATTAAAAATATATTATAATTAAATAAGAAATCAAAACTAAATTTAAAATATAGATAATTCAACCTATTTAATGATCTGAATTGGTAAATATTTCAAAATTCCATCATTTTTTCAATGATATTACATTAAAGTAATAACATAGTCATTAACTCATTTTATTAATTATTTTAATTTACAGTATTTGATTTTTCATCATAATAACTAATATTCTTTTACCTTAAAGTAGATGTTTCACTATTAAGTTTCTCTTTATTATAATCTATGCTATCTGGCATTTAATTATGATTATGAGGTAAAACATCTTATAATTTCAAATTATTTCCAAATTACTCTAGAATATTCATCTTTTATTATATAGTGCTTTTTTTTGCATTTAAATCTTTTTATAACATTAATAATGTAGTTGGTATGCCTTCATTCGATTGTCTAGATAAAATATCACAAGCATAAAGTGTGACCTAACCTAAATATAATGCTTCATCTGTAATTAAAGTCTATAGAAATTGAATATGAAATTTACAATTATTTTACACTATTCCTTTTATTAAAGTTACAATTCTTTAATTTATTACTCCATTTATTCAATTTCTTGTTAATTCTCTAGATGAACATACTAATTTTAACATTTTTCTTGAAGTTTCAATATTTATTATTAATAATTCTTACAATCACTCTAATGAATAATGAATATAAATTACTTCAATTTATTGATTCAATTTTAAAAAATTAAAATTTTCCTTTAAAACTGCATTTAATTATTAATACTATTTATTGAAATCTTATTACAAATCATAATAATTTTATTCATTCTTTTATAATTCATCTTATTTTTCACGCAAATGATTATTTTCATAAGTCAATTCTTAATTTTTTATCAAAACTTAATCTAAATTTTTATTAATATCAATTATTCTTTGATTAAGATTATTATATGTATTAGAATTTTCTGATTACACATTCTTTTCTAGATCTTTAATTAATTTAGTCTTTTATTTGATTTCATCTTATAGTTATATAACCTTATATTCATTAGATTATTTTTCAGTTTACAATTTAAATAGATTTTCCATCAATTATCTATTAACTATAGTTTGTTCATCCAATAATCTTTTATTTTATTCATTTTATGATTCTAAATCATAATTGAGATTTTTTTAATTTCTATAATAAGGAGATTTGGATTTAGAACTTAATTATGATAAATTTCTATCATCTCTAGTTTAAGTCTAATAATTAGATTAATTTATTAATGAACTTTCATTAGTCATAATTTAATGTTGTTAATGAGTATCAAATCCACATTTAGCAAGTTATTATCCAAAAGAAGTTGTATTTTAAGAGAGATAATTTTAAGTTTAATTTGTAGACATATTATCTTTAAGATCTTTCATTTATTTATTTAAAACTTCAACTTAATTTATTAATAAACTATTATTTTATTTAGATGATAAGGCATTTATAATGTCTTAAATTAATTTTTAAGTATCTACAACCATCTTTTATAACCTTAATTAATTTTAAAATGTTAATTAATCAGATTTTTAAAGATCTAATTATTCTTTGAGCATTTCTATTTGTTATTAATATTATAATGAATTATCTGCCATTTTAATTGCATCTTAACTATAAAGTGTATTAATCTCTTATAACAATAAATAAATAAAATATTTTAAAGTAATTAAATCTGTACATCTATAAAAATCGAAACAATCATTACAATGTTCTTAACAAAAACATTTAATTTTTGCAAGAGAAGGTGCACATTCATCTTAATTTTAATCCTTTATCATTTTAAACTTTCTTAATTTCTTAGTTAATTGTTGTATTCTCAAAATACTATTACTATGTAACTTACTTTAATAATGACTTAAATTAGATAATTAACTATGTGTTGAAAATTTATCTTAAATAATAAAGGCTTAATCAGTTTTAACATGTTTAGGAGAATGATCAATCTTACTAATATTTTCTAATCTTTTATTGATGATGGTCTCATAAAAACTCTAAGAATCTATTTTTTAATTAGATTAACAGGCTTTCTTTTAATTCATAAAAGGTGATAAAGGTATATCTACTTTTGATTTAGTAGCTGATCTATCTGCATGTTAACTATTAAGATTTTTGACTCTCAACTCTAATCCTTAAACTTTATCTTGTAAATAATTAGCACATTATTGATATTCTGGACAATTACTTATAACTTAAAGAGGTTAACGTTGAACCTTCAAACTCCCCTTACGAGAATGACATGATGTAGGTGTTTAGTAAGGTTTCATAAAATTGTTTAAATTATTGTTTAACAGCTTTAAAAAAAAATTTATTAACAAAATTTAATTATAATAACTACCTATTCTTTACAATATAATCAAATTTAATATAGTTGTTCTCTTATACATTCATTTCTATCATGATTGGATTTAAAATTTGATAATTTTGTTATGTTATTATTATTCATATTATATATTATGAATATTGATATAATAATAATTTTATATTAATAGATAAATTTTCAGTTATATATTTTAGTATTTCAATTGGAAACAGTTTCAATTTTCTTCTTCTTCTTTAATTAAACTGGTATTCTTTTCTTATTAGCACAATCTTTACATTTACAATTTGAAGTACATTTTTAATTTCTTATATAACATTCACAATAGTTTTTTTAACATTTTGATTTTTAACATTTGCAACCCCAAACTTTGGATAGATCAAATAAATCATTATCATGTTTTTATCGTTAAGACTTTATTTTTATTTTCTCTAATGCTGTTTATCTCACTTATAGATGATAATCATAATTCTTGCAATCAACGCATTTGCAAAGTTCTGTACATTATTTATTTTAATGGAAACATTGACAATACAACTTAAGACAATGAGAATTAGAACAATTACATGGAGTAGTAGTATGTTCATTAGATAAGGAGTTTAGATCAGATTCTTAATTAAACTCTAAGTTTCTTATTAAAGTATTATTTATCTTTTATTTGTGAATTCTTCTATTTCTATGTTCTAAATTCTAGGTTTAAATTTCTTTAGGTTGTTTAGATGGCTAAACTTAAATTTTAAAGTTAGGCTCTTAAATGTATTTATCATTTTCAACATCCTCTATAGGGTTCTCTGTTTGAACCTTCATGATTATAGGTGATTCTAATTCTTCATTGAACTTATCTGATAAGATGCTCCTAAAAATAGATTGAATACATACATAATATTTTTAAGTTAAGGCATAGACATAGGCAATTATTCCACATCATTGTCTAAATTGATATCAAATTTATCTGTGTTCTAATAATCATAGGTCATAGTATTTGACTCTTTTCTTTTTTCACTTTAATTACAAAAATTGTTTTAGTGCATAAACTTTCTAAAAAATTAATACTTACAAAGTACTTTATTGAATGACTTTTATTACATATGGTTTATTAATATATATATTCAAGCACATTATGATTATACTACCTTCCTATATCTAATAGAAAGGCTTTCTTAATGTTAATTGAATAATTTGAATGATGCAATTCATATTGTATAAAATTCAGAATTAGATTACTTAAATGATTCTGAATGTAGTAATATTCATTCTAAATAAACTAGTAATAGATCAATCCAATTTGAAAAATTAAAATAAATTTTATTTATTTATCTCTCAATACAATCTTTTTTTAATGGAAAACTTAATATAATATAAATATATAACAAAATTTAGAGTTAATGTTATTTTCCTTTTTTAATTTATTTCAAAAAAATATAATTTAATTCACTAAACTTTTATTTTCATTTTATTCAATTTACAATTATTCAACATTACTATTCTGTAGTGAAATCTTCTATGTGTAAAATAGTCTTTATTATTATTTAATAATAAAAAGACAACTAGATATTATTATAAATATAGATGGGAAGTTCATGTATTTCTAATTAAAAAGATACTGCATTTGAAGATTTATTTAGTACTTAAATCACCTCATAAGAGAGAGGTATCCAAAATATCAACTAGACTATTGAAGGCAACTTTTAGTAAGTTAAATTATTAAAGGAATCCTTAGAAGAAGGAATCTAAATTTCTAATATTTAAACTATAGTAATTACACCAAGATGTGAGTTAGAGGGAGCAAAAATTGTTGGTGAATTAGTGAAATTAGGAAATCAAATTACAATAATTTCAAAAAAAATACCTGAAAGTCCTCATGTAAGTGAAAGGTCAATTTCAAAGAAAGGAATTTTAAAAAATAAATAAGATATAAATGTTACTTAATCAGCAGATGGATGTTTGTTATATCCATCTCCATATAGAAAGAGTGCAAAAAATATCAAATTCAAAGGGTGAAACTATGGATTATATGATTTAAAGAAACTTATATAAATTTATTTATAAATTATCCCATTAATAATTACTCAAGCTTTGGTTTCATACACAAAAACTCTAAAAATTTTAGTTGGAATATTGAAATCCTTATTTAATTTCTCCTTGTTTACTATTTTTAATTGAGTCTTGCTTAATAATGTCTCAAACTCTTTTTCATATGTGATTTATCCAAAATCTATAGTTGTGAAATACTTGATTTTAGGTTTAATGTATTCAACGAATTACAAGAATGTTGAATTTTTTTTACTATCTGGTTGTAGAGTCAATATGAAATATATTGATCCTCCTGGATTAAGTAATGATTTTGCCAATTCAAGTGCTTCAATTCTCTTAGGCATAAGCATAAATGATGAAGAAAAGACAACTGCATCAAATTTACCTTCCTTCTTTTCAGTAACTTCATAAAAATTTTGATATCTAATTTCCAATTTACGTCCACCTAAATTATAATTTCTGAAAATATTATTTGCTTTTAAAACATAGGCTTAATCAATATCCACTCCTAAGACTTCACAATTTTATGGTAATTAATTCCATATATGCTTTAAAGGTGATCCTGTTCCTACACCAATATCTAGGATTCTTTTTGGATTTTTTTAGTTCATATAAAAGACTAATCTTTCATAACTATATTTTGTTAAGAAATTTGATATGATCATGTCATAAATAGTTGATGGAATAACGTAAAGAATGTGTAGAATTTTAGTCAAGAGAGTCTGAATAAATGATGCCATTAAATAAAATATTAATTTATAAATGAATGATTAAAATAAGTATTTAAATATTTATTCATGATGGATTATCAATAAGATTAAGTTCAAAAATTGTATTATTTATTAAATAAGCAATACTATTATAAATATTAAAATAACATTATTCTTATTCTTCTATATCTACTTAAAATTAATATATATAAGATAAATCAAAAATGTTCAATTTTATTGTTAAACTAGAAGTTCTATTATATATGTATTTAATATTAAATAATATACTCATTAATGATAATGATTCTCATATTATTATTAAATCTAGATTAACTAAAAATATATTTATGATTTATTAGATCAACATGTAATTTATAAGACTAATATGTATGTATAAGGTTAAGAATTTGAATAAGATTTATTTATCTATTTATTGGCTTATAAACAATATATTGAAGGTACGCATGATTTATTATATATTGCTTATCAATTGAAAATCTGAATAACTTATATGAATATTTTTTATTGATTGCTTAGTTACATATATAAATAATATATATTAACAAGAATGGAACAAAAAACTTCAAAACGAATGGTTTCATTGGATTCTAATTTTGAGCATGCTGAATTCATTTCAGCTCGTACTGACACAAAATAACGCTTAGGAGAATTATTTATTTAACACCCTAGTAAATTAGAAAGTATCATTAATGCAAATAACTCTTTAAGTGTTTGGTCTTAGATAAGTAAGCTCCAAAATTCCCAAATTTAAGCATCCTAAACCACTTTTTGAATTACCAATGAGTGATACTTAAAGATCTTTGACACATCAGACAACATCGATTATTGATTGTAGTAAATGTAATTAGAGTCTCTCAAAGATGATAAATAATAAAAGTCATCATGAAAAATTAATTCTTTCTTAACCTACTTTAGTAGCAGAAGAGAGGAAGGAAATATAAGTGTAACCTCCAAAAAGATTAGTTAGTCATCATGGAAGATAAAAGAATGAATTACCTCCAATTCTAGCTCATCCTCATATTTCACCTCCTCCTTTTTTCTAATAATCACCAAAGACTTAAAGAAAATAAAAAACTATGGGAAAACTTTCTTTTGGAAGAATCTCTAAAAATTTTGATCATGAACTTATGTAAGTCATTTAATCAGAACTTCAGAAGTAATTCAACAATAATCTTCAAAAAGAATAACCTACTACTAAGATGCTTTAGAAGCATGTATTAATATATGACATATATAATTCAGTAAAATCTTAAAAGGTCCAAATTAATCTCCCTAAGTCAAGCCATCAAGGAATTTAAGAAGTCCATATAGACTGAAGATAAATCAAATACTTTTGAACTTTTCAAATTAAAAGAGAAAGAATTAAATTAATTAATATCAGGGCATAATTATGAAATTTATTAAACTATTGATGATATAATATGATTAATAATATTTTTACAATTTTTACTATTTATCTAAGTCACTTAAATTATATTATTAATTATAATACAAAGATCTTCTATGAACTTTATTTATATTAAATAATTCCATATATCTTTCTTATATTAGAATAAAGAATAAATTGATTACTTAAATTGAATATTAAACCAAATAATATTAAGTAGTTTTTAATAATATTATATGATAAATGATTATAATAATTATTTCTTTTTAATATCATAATACTATTATTTTCATAATTCCCATATCTCTTAATATTCTTTCAACTTCAATATTCATCTATGGAGGACCACAAATGAAATATGTTGTTGAGTTATTTAAATCAGATATATGATTAATAAATGTTTGTTATGTAAATCGATTTTCTATAATTGGACATTCTTTTAATTTAAAGTTACCTTTCACAATTAATTTAAAATTAGGACTATCCAAATATTATTATAATGAAAGCAAAGCAAAATAGATATCTCTTCCAATCTATTTTAATTTATATATATTTTACTAAATCTTCAATAGAATTGACTGCTAAAAACATTGTGATTGTAAATTTTTTAATCTCATTGATTCCTAAATCTATTAATTTTGATGCCTCTTCACCAAGCTTCATTTTTACAATTTGATTATATGAAACTCTTAATTAATAATCAAGTATATCTAAAAATGGAAATAATCCAGTTCCTCCAGCTATGAAAATTAAATGAGAATTATTCTCAATTTAAATAGAATTTCCATATGGACCTTCAATAATATATTATCCTTATCTATTATCCTCATGTATATAATTAGAAAAACCATTTTTAGTTTCATATTTCTTAATTATTAATGGAAGTTCATCTTCAAATTCTTCTAACTTTGGTATCTCTTTATGAATTGGTTGTAAATTAATAATCTTTTTATATAATTCAAGAATGTCTTTTCTGTATTTTACTCTTTTATTAGTCATGCTTAATACCATAGTATATTGTCTTTAATGAATATCATTATTATCATCTGATTTAATAATGAAATATGATCCAAAAGTGTCTAATCCATTAATGGCATTTCTAAGTTGAAATTATTAATTTGTGAATTCAAATTTAGCAATTAGAAAAGTGTACGGATTTACTGTAGCTAAAGTCCATATAGCCTTTAATTTCTTAACTGGTCTTTAAGTTGTCTTATTATAGAAAAGTTCTAAGTCTTCATTAACATAAACACCAGTTTTATATTTTTATAAGGCTTATAATGTATAAAGACTATGACGATAAGGTTTAAGAGTGAGTTGAGGTACAGGATATGCTCCAAGAACATATTTAGTAATATCTTAACCTTAAATTAAATTCCAAATGTAATTGCCACCAGGATGAACCATTTATGATAAATCAATAATTTGATTATGATATATGCACCACAATTTATCTGAATTCTATTCTTGTACTTCGAGATCACTTTAATTAATCTTATCTAGCAAAGATTCTTAATCTGGAAGTACTTTATTTTTTTTAAAGTAAGAACTACTGGAATTGCTTTTAGTCATGACCATTAATGTTCCTCTTTAATATAATACTTCCAGTATAAAACGAATGGTTAAGACTGCTCCAAGAATAAGCATAAATCTGATATCATTATCCATGAATAATCCAGCAATTATTTATAATTTACCAATTGCATATACAATACTTCCAAAAATAGCATGATATGATGGTTTTACTGATACTTTCTCATTTATCTTATAAGAAGTTAACATTATATTATACAATATACCACCTATACATTGAATGATCATGCAAAAAGCTAAGATCATAAAAAATACAATATGGAATTTATTTTTTATTGATTCATCTTTGAAATGTTTCCATTCCAATATTTCCCAATCTGTATTTAACATAAAAAATGCTGTTGTTAAGGAACTAGCAATTATCATAATAAACAAAAATCCATGTAAATATGTTCTATATCCCCAAGTCTTAAAATATCTACCAACAATAATTGCCAAATCACTAGCTATACCCCAACAAATAAAGTTAGTCCATTTGTGTAATTTATAATATTTATTCTCATCCTCTATATCTACATCTATATCTCCTCCTTTATCAATTAAATCAATTTTTACATATCCAAAATTACCTTTACCATGACTTGAAACCTTCAAGCTTTAATCATTCTTACCATGTGCCCAAATAAAATCAACACCTTTTTATTACTTCAATTCCTTATCATATTTGTCCCCTTTAATATAGATTACTTGATTATACCTGTATTTGCTTTTCTTTTAAATTTCACCCCACTCTTACCATTCTCATTATAATAATAACCCAGAATTATTATATCATTTGTACCACCTGATGAAACATCTGTTGGTGGCACTTAATGCTTAGAACAATGTGAATCTGTTCCAATAATCACATTCTTATCTATCTCAAATACCCAAACATCTGCATCACTCATAGATTTTCCTAACCCAAATGAAAAGTAACTAATTTTATCGATCTCAATCATCATAGTTACTTCTTTCTAGTCTTAACTGAATTCAAAGTAGAAATCAATAATTGTGTCTACAATCACCATTATATATACTAGACTCTGAGATTTTTGCATGAGTTCGTGGCTTTATAATGTCATTACTTGGATCATGATAATAAAATATCTTCGAACCTAATATAATATCTTATATTAATCCAAGAACTAAAATTCTTAACATTCTTTTATCTAAATAAATTATTAATTTTATTCAATATATAATAATAAATATAGAACATGATTTTCTTCAACTATTTTAACCTTTTTATTCAAATGTTTTTTACAATAAAAATAGTTTATTATCTCAATATCTATTTATATATATATATATAAAAATAAATATATGACTTATAATATATTTTTGTTATGGAAATGATTTTATTATTTATTAATAAATTCATTACTAATTTAATAAAATGTGAAATCAAGTATATATAATTTTACATCATTTCTTAATTAGTGTCTTTCTTTTTTCATCCATAACTTGTCTTCTTTTTCTCTAATTTTCTTATTCTATAATTATTCTTTTTCTTTCTCTTACTTTTCTTTTGATTTCATAAATTGTTTTAATAAATTAATCAGTTGGCTTAGTTGGTGATTCTCCAAACATTTAACATAATTCTTTATATTTGTTTTCTAAACTCTTTAGATTTGCCTTCTAAACAATAACAAATAATTCAATTTCATCATAAAGTTAACCAAATATTGCTCTTGCTCTATCATCACCTCCTTAATCACTATCTCTAGCCAAAACTATTTATTGTTTGTTCTATTCAAATTGTTTCAAAAATATATACAAATTATCCATCTTTCTAGTTTCTTATGATAATGTATCTAATTTTGTTAAATCAGCATCCAAATCAATCACAAATCCAGATTCTTCTACTTTCTTTATAACATACATCCAAATATCAAATTACTTCTATTTATCTGAATAACATGTTACTTTAGGAATACAATCAAATCTCAATCCTTAAGATTAATTATTTCCATTTAAGATTGATCCATAATAAAACAAATATTTTATTACAATAAATAATTCCTTATCATTTTTTATTTAATCAAATACAGCATCAAACAACAACAATAATTCTTCAATTACTACTTAATTTTTTAGTGATTCATATTTTGCACTTAAACCAATCAATCTCTCTTCATAACATTTAATTTCCATAACAAACATACAAAATTTATCTGCATCACTATAATCAGCTATTCTTTATTGTAATTCCTATAAATCCCATGTTTTTTCTTCCTTCCATAAATTCTTTTCATTTTCTTTTGGCAAACAATCTATTAAAAGTGTCACCTTATCTTCTGTTAATTTTTCTTCATCAACTATTCTAATTGCTTATAGTATTTCCTCTATTGGATATTTAACTCTTTTCAAAGCCATTTAAATAGCTTATGCCCTATTTGGATCCTTTGGTCCACTACCTTTTGATAATTTTGTAATTGGCTCTTTTTTTAAAAACATAGATTGAAAAACAGCTGATTACATTACTGATTAATCAATTGCTGATTTTGCAGCAAATATATCAATAAATTCTCCTACTTCAAATTTCATATCATCATATTAAAATTATTCCCAAATAGTTCCTTCAACTTTATTAATTGGTATTGGATTCCAAGTTTGACATTTCTTCATTGCAATATCAATTGGTATTATTTCAAATTTTGGTTTTAATTCCTTTTAACTTTTTATGCTTCCAGGTGGTGGAGGTGGAGGAGGTGGAAAACCTGGTTTACCAAAAGGTGGAGGAGGAGGTGCAGGTGGTCCTTTTTTATCAGTAGTTGGTGGTGGAGGTGGAGGAGGAGAAGGAGGAACAAATGAATTAGCATAAAGACTAGCTTGACTACATTAATGAGGTGTAACTGCTTCAAGTGGAGTTTAAGGACTATCATCAATAGATTTTTCAGAATTTAAACATTTTTCAGATGTTACTTCTTCAATTTTTTTATCAAAATTTGAAACATTATCATTATCATTTTGTTTTTCTTCTTAAATTTATTCTAATTATTATTTATTTAATTAAATATTAGCAAAATTTACTGAAGCTTTTAAAGTAGATGTTTTAGCATTTTTTAATAAATTTTATTTATTACTTAAAAATATTGATTATTTTGATGATTATTATTATTATTATTAATTTGATTATTATTATTAAGTTGATTATTATTATTATTAAGTTGATTATAATTTTTCATTTACTACTGAACGAAAGGCATTATAATTTATTTATCCTTAACGTCTTGATTCTTCTAATTCTTATAATAAAAATTCCTTATCTTCTTCTAATTTACTGATTTTTTCTTCTTATATTATTATCTTTTTTTCAGCTTCTTTTAATTTTCTATCTAATGTATTTATTTTTTATTTTAATTCAAATATACTCAATTCAGATTCTTTTACTTATATTGTTTCATCCTAAACAACAAATTCCTCCTCTATTATTAAACCTACATTTTATTTTAAGAGTTCTATCTCTTGTTACATATCACAATTATCAAGTTTGTAAATATATTTAGATTCTCTATTAAAAATTAATGGATATTATTATTCATCTTAACTTTGATATGTAAAAATAAGACTTGGATTTTGAAGATATTCTTCTAATTTATTGGCCAATAATAAATCTCTAAAAGATGAACCAACTTCAAATTTCTCATAATATTCATTAATGAATTCTGAAAAGCAATATTTGGCTTATAATGAAGACTCCATTTTTTCTAGATTAGTTAAGATAACTTTTTCAACTTCAATTGAATTCTGATCACAATGTTTCTTAAGTAATCTAAGTAATAAATAAATAACTTCTGGATCATCTGTGACTTTTAAATGATGGTTAATTTTCTCAATAGAACAGGTTTATTCAGATTGATTTAGACAATTTAAATACATAATGAGGGATATACCTTATAAATCCAAGTTGGAATCAAATATTAAATCATTACTCTCTTGTGGTCCTGATGCAATAATCCATTAATAAGCACATGCTAAGTCAAATACATCATGTGATTATAATAGATCTTATGTTTTTTCAAGACTAAGATTGATTAATTTACCAGTGATTCTCATATATTCATGAGCAATAGAGTATTTGACTATGGCTTCTAGAGAATTGAAACGTTTATGATCTTTTTCTGACATTTCGACATCACTTAAAAAGATGTCTATATGTTATTGAACGACAGGACCAGGATGAATAGCAGATATTTTGAGTTCAACAATTTATTTGTTTTATCTTAATATGCACTCTAAATTGATAGGTAATTTTGGTGCTGTGGATCTGATTAAAAATTGCATAAAAAATATTATGTTTTGCTGCAAAATTAAAAATACAATTCAAAGTACAACTAGAAATTATGAGTTATTGGATGAGATAGGAATGGGATCATATGGAAAAGTAAAGTTAGGAAAGGATGTTAAAAGTAAAAAGAAATATGCAATTAAGTTGGTTTAGAAATTTGAAAATATTTTTAGATTGAGAAATAGAAAATGGAAGAGTTTCATGCAGAAAATAACATCTTAACTGAGATAAGAATCTAATCAAAATTACATCATCCTCATATAGTAGAGTTAGTGGAATACTTTGAGGACGAAAAATTTATATATTTAGTGCAAGAATATTGTAGTAAAGGAACTCTTAGATAGTAAATTTGTAAGAGAAGATTGTAAGAAAATGAGATTTACAACTATATATATTAATTGAATGAGGCATTAATTTACTTACATCGACAAAGGATTGTACATCGTGACTTAAAGGTATTTTAGAAACACCAAGATTTTAGTTAGATAATATATTATTAGATGATAATGATACTATTAAATTGACAGATTTCAATTGGGCAACCAAGTTAAATAGTTATGCAGCTGAACCAACTAATTGTGGGACAACTCATTATATGCCTCCTGAGATTATATTGTTGCAACCACATACTGAAAAAGTAGATAGTTGGTCTTTAGGAATTATCATTTTTGTATTTAATTATTATATAGAATATAGGAATTAGTATTTTAACATAGACCTTTTGAAGGATTAACCTAAGAAGAATTGTAAAAATAAATCATTTACCATAATCCACTAACAGATTGTAAATCAATTCCAACTGATTTAATTATGTTACTTAATTGTCTACTCACTAAGAATCCTATTTATAGATTGAACTGTGAATAAGTTAAAGTCAGTCAGTGGTTTTAAAGATAACATCACAATTCATTTTTATAAGCAGACGAATCTGTCAACCTTACTAATATCACTTATAATAAGAATGACAATATTTGATAATTAATATGATTAATGATTTTACTCAATTAGTTGGATGGCAAGACTATTCACAATCCTCCCACACTAATTAACTTAAACTACTTTCTGAATCTATGGAATATCCATCTCCAATAACATCATTTAAAGATAGAAAGTTATTGCCTAATTTATGTCACATAAGACAAGTGACAGAAATAAGAAGTCCTCGTAAGAAATCTTTGCAATCCACTAGAATTCAAAAAAGTCAAGTTCTATATTAAATCAAAGATGAGAGTCCTTTAAAGAAAAGACCTGCTAATCCTAGACATATTAGAGTTACTCCTTCTTAATTCAATTTTACTTTAAGTGAAGATAAATTCAATAAAATTAATAAAGATTAATCACCTACCAAGTAGAAACTTAATAAACTTGCTCCATTATTGTAAAAAGTCCATAAAGTACAGATTAAAAATAAAATAATCACTATTACATAAAAGTCTCCACTTACTCAATTACAAAAATTATTAGATGTACTCAATGAAAAATGACTTTTTATTATAATTCTTCTCATCATATATGAAATATATATATATATATATTGTACTATCTGTATGTATATATAATTTGAATCAGAATAAAACAAATTGTTTTCTAACATTACCAATGATTTCATTTGGAATAACTTTCAATACATTGAATCTAACTGTCTTTGATAATGGTCTTTAATTAATTATTTAAATTCTTACCTGCATTGTCCACAAACTACAATATCACCTTCCTTAACTGGTCCAAATGCTGGTGAAATGTGAACTGGTACATTTCTGTGTCTCTTTTCATATCTATTATATTTGGCAACATAGTGTAAATAATCTCTTCTAATAATAATTGTTCTGGTCATCTTAGTTGATATTACTATGCCTCTATTCATTATTGACTTTTCATTTACTTTAAAATAGCTCCTCTAACACTAACATTTCCTGTGAATGGGCATTTCTTATCAATATAATGACCTTCAATTGCTTCCTTTGGTACTTTGAAACCAAGACCTACTTCCTTCCAATATCTGACTCCCTTTGATGTTTTCTTTGCTAATAATTTCTTTGAGTTTTAGAAGATGCCCTCTTATTTTTAAAAGGCTCTTTATGTTTGAAGGTCTGCCATAATATAATTTTTTTAAAAAAAAGATATAAAAATTTAATACTTTAATGATCAAATTAGAATAGAGAGTAGAAACTAAAGCATAAATTGCCATCTCTTAAACAATAACATATAGATGAGTATATTATCTATAAAATCTAGTTACTATGTAAAGCAATCAACTAAAAATTATTTTTATTTCTAATCTAGAAAAATGTGTAATAAATATTTCCTATACTATTTTAATATTACATATTTTCAAATTCTATTTTCTTTTCAAATATGTAATATTAAAATTATTTAATGTAAATCTATTTTTCATTCAACAACACTATAAATTAATATCTTAAATATTAATGAGTATTAGATATTACATTCAAAAAGATTATATGTATTTTTAATAATTGTGTTAAGAATATTTTGATTATTATTAAAATTATTCTTAAAGTTATAATTATAATTGTAGAGAGTGAAAGAGAAGTATGTAGTTTTTGTGTTTATACATTATATTTATTGAAGTCTTAGATATTTTGAACATTTCAAATTCAACTTTAAATTATTCATGTATATTTATATTAAATAATTATGGGAAATAATCTTTGCTTCTAAACTGGTGAGAGATCTTCACAGTTTCCTTAATTATTATTAAAATACGAAATAGGAAATTGTGAAATTGCATTAACAGCAGGTCCAGTTGAAAATGAAGATGTGGAATGTTTAGTGATTCCGACTGATTCTGGATACACTAATATTAAGCAAAGCGATAGACCTAGTTTTAAATAAATAAACGAGAAATGTGTTTTTGTGGCTGGTAGTAAAAGTATCGAATTCATTAATGCTAATAAGAACGCAAAAGCTAGATTTTTGCAGTTGTCATGGACAAGAATTACTCAGTAAAAAATGATGATGGAGAAGATGAAAAACAAACTATTTATGCAACAGTTCAAGAGGCTCTCAGATTGGTAAGTGAATCAAATATATTCTAAGGCCGAACAAAAACAAATGAAATCAGTTGGATTTCCAGTATTTGAATCTAAAGATCATACAACTTCAGCCACAATCATGTTGATGGCTATTAAACTTACTATAACTGAGTAAAAAATAAAATCCCTTAAAAGAATTGCAATAACTCTTGATGTATAAATTATTTTTTAATTATATTAAGCATATAGAGCAAGTTAGTAGTTTTAAATGGGTATTTTAACAAGTTTTTAAAGGAAGTGAATAGTTGAGATACTCAAGAGCCTACTCAAGTTCAATAAATACATAAATAGATTCGATTTCTATTGATGATTTAAAGTCAAAGGTAAAAAGTAATACAAAGGAAGAAACTCCTTGAATTAGCCGAAATTCATATGTAACAAATTGATTTATATTGTTTAATAATTATTTATCAAATAATCCTAAAAGCTTTGAATAAAAATATTTTCCCAAACTTACAGAAAATACTTTGTTCTAAATTTATCTTTACATAATTATATTATTATTTCCCTAATAAAATAAATATCGCCAAATATATTAAACAATAATATAAAATCAAATTTCTATTGGTTTATTGATTTCTGGCATTTCAATAATAGAACTTTAATTAGCTTAGCTGCTGATTGATGAATACTCGTACTTCTCTTAAAAGTATATCCAAATAAGAAAACCAGCTAACACTAGTAATAACAAAATGAATATGGTGGTTGTATCAAATATCTAAAAATCATCTTTAGGAGGGGTTTCTATTTCATTATTTTGCCAATTTTTATCAAGAAACTGAACAAATGATTCTTTAGTTCTGTTTCCACTATAATGATGTAGATTTCCTCCTTCAGAAATTAGAATCATAGTTGGTACTGCATCAATTGAAAATAATTTACATAAACTTTTTTCAACCTCACTAAAATTATTTTGTAATATACCAATTGACAGCACCAATTTTACTCTATGTTTAATTGTATTCAGCAAAACTATCCCAAATAGGAATAACTTTTTAACAATGGGGACATGATGGTCTATAAAACAGTATAAACCAGGAATGGTTGTCTCGACCTATGAATTATATATATGTATATTACCAATGTTGAATTATTCAAACTCAGATTGGTTGAGTGATTTGACTTTGGTATTCTCAGAAAAAGAGTGCTTTGAATATGCTTACACAATTAGTAATATTAATATATACATTTTAATAATAAATTAATCACATTCTTTTAATACCTTTACCTTTCTATTTTAATCTTAAAGTATACAAATCCTCAATTTATTAAAAGAAGTTATGGGAATAATTATGAATTACTCCAGCTAGATCTAAAATAAATTAAGCCAACATAACTTAGTTTTAATAAATGATTCTTTGTTCTTGAGCTTAAGTTTTAGATAAAACAAACATAATAGTTTTATTAATGTGTTTATGTTCATCTGGACTTTAAGAATCTTACCGATGTGTGAAACATGTTTTGGTACCAATATTTCTTTATGATTCTAAGACTACAAATTTTTAATCTGGAGATATCTCATCTTAATCTAAATTAAATATATATATAGAAATATTTACTTCTTCTTAATTTTATTGAATTAGTATCATATGCATATTAGTCATTTGTAATTTGATAGAGAATACAACTACTATTAACATCTACTGAAGAGATATCCATCTCAAAGTTTTTGGCTAACTTACTTAAACTTAATTTAAAGTCTTCAACTGTAGTTCTACTTTCATAAGTGTCTTAATCTATAAAACTTCTTAGATTTTCACAAATTTATAAATTGCTTGTAGTAAATAAGGTATCAGAATGATCCCAAGGACCTGAATGCAATCTGTTAAAACATATTTGCATGTCTTCAATACTAATTAAATACCATTTATTATTAATTTAATGTAATAATTTGAAGAAAGAGCTTTCAGGTAATAATTAATATGTGAAATAGTTTTCAATAAGGTAAAGTATTTAAAAATAATATTTGATATTTGGTTTTGGAAATTTAAGAATTCCCATTAAAGAAAATAATATTTTGCTTTCAATCTTAAATTTACTTTAAAATTTTAATTCTTAGATCCTTTCAAATTTTTCTCTATATGAAGTTTTAAAAAATTCATCTTCTTATTTTTTTATATATACTTCAGAAGCATCTCTAAGTACTGCATTTTAAATAAGTAAATGATGATTTGAAATATTTATATATTTTTTATGAAATATTTCATCCTTCTTAATTTCATTCCTTAAATGATTCATATATTCTGTAGTGACATGTTATACATCAAAACCATCATTACTTTACTTTAATTCTAAGAAAATTTAGTAATCTTTGAAATGTTATTTATATAGAGCACCAACATCATAGGGTTTATATTCAGGTGTTTTAATTCTAATAATAGTTTTTGAATGTGCAATTTACACAATTCTAACTTAAGAATCTTCTCTTGTTTATAAATTGTTTTCATTAAAAGTATCCTATTAAAATTATTCTGAAATAGTTCTGAAAGCTGGATTGCCTTCTTTTTAATCTCGATTATCATTTGATTAAAATTAAATTACATCTGGATTATCATCATTTAAAATTCTAGTTTTCTTTTTTAATTAAGTAACACCAGAAATCCCATTAATTTTTGTATCTAATTAAGCTTCATTTGAAATATCAATTTCATCTCCTATTTATTCATCTTCTTATTTAATTGATAAAGATACAATAGTAAATACTTCCCAAACAAGTCCACTAATTAAAGCTAATAAAAATATAGATAAGAATTCAAAAGATCCAATAAAAATCATTGCTGAAAACATATCTCCAGTATCATAAGTTAATTCAAAAACAACTTAATTCCATTCAGCAGCAATGAAAAATTGTAGCATCATTAGATATGCACCTGCAAATGATTTAAAATCAGCATATTTGCAATCTCCCCATGAATATTAGAATTAGCTTGGATCACATTTAGAATTGGCATAGGGATTATCAGGTACTGTTTCTACATTACCATATACATATATTCCAATAGTAGCATATATGAAAAATACCATTTATACTGGCATCATCAATCTAAATATAATGGGAATGCAAAATAAGATTTTATATAATAATCTTCTTACAACATCTAAAAATTCTACACCTTTTAATAAAAAACTTATAATCTTAACTGATCTAAATGCTCTAAATAATCTAAACACTTTCTATATTTTAGCTAATCTCAATATTCTATTAGCTTTTATTGATTGTACTATATTCCCAGATACAACATTAAATAAAACATAATCAAAAATAATTTAAAGAATTACCAAAGAGATATCAAAGACATTCCATCCCTCATTAAAATATTCTCTAATACCTATGGCAACAATTTTAACTAGACATTCCATTGAATAAAGTACCAAAAATATTGTATCTAATTAATTGAATATATCTAACACACTAAGATCTTCAATAAAAAAAGCTGCAATAATTAATATACAATTTGTTATTGTTACTACCAACATTATTGTTCCAAAAAGACTACCTTCAATAAATCTCTACAATCCTCTTTGATTAACAAATGCCCTTAATCTTTCCCAACACTCTAAAGGTTTGGCTTAAGGTAGATTAAACCTAGTTCCATCTTGTAACACTTTTAATAATTAATAGAATTCATCGAATTACACTTTATCACTAATTATTATTGTTTTTTTACTTGAAATCTTTGTCAATTTCTCCAAATAATTGCAATAATTTATGTTCTGACAATTGATTTCTATAAAAACCTCTAATAAAATCTTTAAATTAAGTTTCAGATATATATCCTTAATCTTCAAAATCTAATGAGATAAAACTAGCCATCATAGCAGACTTCTATTTTATTATATCACTAATTGCAATTTCCATTCTGTGATTTCTAAATCCCTCATAAACAACTGCTAATGGTATGGGAGCAAATAGAAATATAAATAATAATAAGTAAACGATAAAAAATAATGCATAATATGTTCCTTCCATCATTGGAGGTATTAAAATATCAGGATAAAAATCAAGAGTAGCTGTCATTAATAACATAGAGAAAAGCTTTAAAAAATTTCCATAATCTTGTGTTGTCTTATCAACATTATCCAATTCTCCTATCAAATTTATACCCACAAATGAAAATATTGAAATTATGAATAAGTACAACACAATCAATAAAAATAAATCTCGACTTGCTTTCAATATTCCTTTTAAAGTTCTTCTTAAATCTTTCGAGTATAGAGGCATTAAAAAAGCTCTCAAGATCCTACTAAATCTAACAATACTAGGGTCACCAAGATGTATAAAAAAATCAAGTAAACACATGCAGTAAAAGAAAATTTTAAGTTGTCTCTTCAAATTAAACTTAAATCCCAATCCTCCTTTCTTTTTACTTTTCAATAATATTATAGTAATTATAGTGTCTAATCCAAAAAATGCCAATAGGAATCCTTCTAATCCATCTGTTGCTGATGATTCAAAGAAAGTCATCAATTAATAGATTAAGGTTAATAGGAATTGGAATTAAATCCAAAATTGCTGATTTTCAATTATCCATAATATTTTTAGAAATTTCTTATTAGTTTCATCTATATCATTGCGTATGGTTCTTAAAAAATAAGCATCATAGATATGTCTTTCAGCTTTTGCAATTCTTTATTAGAATGTAAGAGTTTTTACAGTTTTCTATATTTCTTCTGCTAAAATATCATTTTTTTCAATTAGAGTATCTGGAATATCAGTAATTGTAATGGAAGAGCGATAAAGAGAAGCTTAAGAAGATTTTCTTTTGTCACTCCTTTTGTCTTTTTTCATTAATCAAATTTATTAATAATTAATGTTATGAATGAAATCAACATATGATATATGTCAAAACTAATTTTACTTCTTCAAGTCTATCATGTCTTTAATTTAATTTTAAAGTAAACCAAAATGATTGTTTAAGTCTTTTGTCTTTGTTTAAAACCTTAAAATAAGATTGAATAGCAAACATTTATTTAACTTATAATCTAATAAATTTTATTACTTTATGAATATAAAAATATTGTTTCTAATTTCAAAAGAAGATAAAAAACTTATATTACAATTAGTTAATAATACTATTCATTTATTTCTAAATTAATAACTAGACAAATAATTTATTGTCTTTATGATTAATTATCATTTTGCAATATTTAAAATAAGATTTATATCTAAATTAATTTACAATAATTGTTATAATTAAAATTACTAATTAAATTATGAATTCTTTATATATTATTCATAGATACATAAATATTTTATAAGAATAATCAGAATCTTAAAATGATTTAAGCTTATTTCATTTACTTCTTAATATATAAAAATATCAAATATCAAATATATATGAAATATGATTAATTACTCATATAATAATTAAATAAATATATATAATATGTAAGAACATCTTGATTAGTTTTTTGAATTATTAAAATAGACAGATGAAGCAATCAAGATTTAAATTAGAGCATTAACAAGTAATAATGTTGATTTTCAGGATACTAAATCTAAGTGGGAAGAAGTATAAGTCAAATTGTTAAAATTACTAATATAAACATATTGTATTGATTAATAGATTAATCATCATCTTATTCCTGATGATGTTTGGAGCTTAATTTCATAAATAATGAAAAGAACTACAATTGATTGTAAATTATAATTTGCGACAACAAGGAAAAAAATAAGATTACTTTAGTAATAATGGTAGAAAAAAGAAGATGAAGCTTTAAAAGAGATTTGTGTTTCTTATTAAGCATAGAATAGACCATTTAAATGGAGTGAAATAGCAAAAGAATTAGCATAAAAATTAAATCAATAAAATGTGAAAATGACAAAAATAGTAAGAGATAGATGGCTTAATAAATTAAATCCAAATATTCAAAGAGGTCCATGGGAAAAAAATGAAGAATATGAATTATGTAAATAATTACTTAAGCATGGAAAGAATTGGATGATAATAGCTATAGAAATGAAAAATTCTAGAACAGAAAATTCAATAAAGAATAGATATTTCAATATTTTAAGAAAGTTAGAGAAGCAAGATGTTCCTATATTGAGTAAAACAAATATTGAAAAGTAGTTAACTAAATTTTAATTAAATGAAAGTGTAAAACTTGAATAATTTGGATAATAAGAGATAAGCTTTATATTATATTAATTAAGTAGATTGGAACCAAATATTATAAAAACTAAAGAAGAATTTAAATCAGATAATAAGGTATAGAAGAAAATCAATGGAAGCACTTAGAATTCTTGTTCTAAGAAACTTTCAAAAGCTGATGAAAAAGATGAAAAACTACATGCAAAAAACATAATCAAAAAAGTTTTAAAATAATATGAATAAGATGAAAATCTAGATATAAATAAAATGAAAGATTACTATTAAGAAGTAGTAGCTCAGAAAGGTGATACTGTAGAATTAGATGAAGAACCAATTAGTGATTCTGAAAACTTATCAGAAGTATAATTTGCAGTAATGGGAAAGGATTCATAAAAATTACATTTATTTCCAAAATCATAATTAAAAGTAGTAATGGAACTTATGAAATAAAAAAAGGAATAGAAAAAAGATGTATAATCATCATTAAGTAAGATTTAATCTCTTCCACCTCCTCTTCCTAAATTAGAATAAAAATTACCGTAACCTCAGTAATAATAATAATCTTAACCTTAATAACAATAGTAAAATCCTTAATAGATTTTTCCATAAACTGCTATACCTCCTTAACCATAAGTTCCAGTTTAACTACCTATAGTCCAACCAATCATGTAACCCGTTGCTCTTCCAACTCCAGTAATACCTATATAATAATAACACTCTGGATAATAATAATAATAACAATAGCAACAATCTTCACAGTAATAATAATAACAACAATAATAATAATATTATTAACTTGTATATCCATCAAATTTTATGTATCCTTAAGTATAGATGGCTCCAGTAGCTTAAATACCAATATTACCAGGTTAAATGATGGGATAAATTCCAGGATAGATGGTAGGGTAAATTCCAGGTTAGATGGTCAGTTAAATTCCTGGATAGATTGTTAATTAGATACCAGGATAAATGGTTGGACAACTTCCAGGATAAATGATTGGTCAAATTCCAGGATAAATGGGTTAAATGGTAAGCTAAATTCCAAGTTAGATGGTTAGTTAAATTCCAACCTAAGTAGTATAAACGATTCCAGGTTAAATACCATAAATAATTTCTCAACTACCTCCTTAAATGATGCAACAAGTTCAAGGATAAATTCCATAAATGGTTTAACCAGGATAGATGGCTACTGTGCAAAATGGATAAATACAGATGTCATAAATTGCATCAGTGCCTTAAATAGCATAAATGCCATTACAATCACTTCCTTTAACAGCAACCTAGTCTGTAGGAATGCCATAATAATTCATCCCAATAATGTAATAAATATTTTAAGCCAATTAGATATACCCCTTAGCCAGTATATTAATAATAATAATAGTAATCTTAGGGACAATTAAATTAATAGTAGAAAACAAACTCACAGTAATAGTAGGTTCCAATTATGAATTATTAAATTCCAATGATGCCTTAATATGGAGATTAGTATTTCCAGTTTATGAACATGAATTAAACTAATTAATAAAAATAGCCTAAGTATTCATAAGTTAAATAAGAGATGGAGGAATAATAATAATAACAAAATCGAAAATGAATAAAATTAATAAATTTAATTAATTCATATCTATCCTAATTTTAAAAACATTAATATAATACTCTAATTTCTAATCTTGGAGTAAATTCAAAGTTTATTTTATGTATTTTTCATTCTCTTTAAAATTATTAGTGTTAATAGATTCTGTTGAATTTCCGCCATACTTTTCCAATTTATGACTTAAAAAAGTTTTCTGATATTGGTTATAAAATTCATTAAATATTTTATTATTTTGTAAATCTTTATAAGGATCTTCCTTAGTATTTTAATCTGGTTTGTAAAATGATTTTATTTTTAAATCATTTAGATACTATTTATGAATGGTAATCAATTAAAATTTTGGTTGTTCAACTTCATCATATGATTGATTATATTTTCTTAATTAGTGAATTTGGATTTTTTATATACTTAAATTTCTAAAGCTAATATACTAAAATAACATTTATTATCATTAAATAAAATATCACTTGACATATCTATTATCAGATTATTTTGTATTGATATATTTTTTAACTCTTTTGTTTTTTGAAATCAAATTATTAATAAATTCTTCTGATTTAGGTTTATATTATTGCCAAACAACAGTCAATTAATGTATCATATAAATCTATTTTAGCATCTGAATTTGATCTATACTTAATAAATTGAGTGAAATACTAAATTGGATAATCTAAATCTTCACATAAAAAGGTTAAATTACATTAATATTTTTGAATTTTTAATAATTATTTATAGACATTTTAAGTTCAGATATTAATAAAATGTTTTCTATTAATAATGACATTAAATTGGTATTAATTTTAAGTATACTATCGAAAGTATATTTAATTTCTTTATTGTCATCCTTTAATAAAGTTTTTTTTAAATTTCCAATTGAGAACTGACTAGATAGATGCATATTCTCTGAAATTATTTTAATTAGGCTTCAATTTTCTATTCATTAGTATTAGTGATGATTTTATATTAATGATTCATTATATTAACTTCCTTTTCTATCATCTTCTAATTTAATAAGGGATCAATGAAAAAGTGATTGAACATAACTAACTTATTATAAAACACTGTTTTAGATAGAAAAGTATAATTGTTTGATTATACAATTCAAGCTTTTGTTATTAAAATCATCATTGATTTCAATATAGGGGATATTATTTTCTTGTATACCTTGGCTTTATTTAATTTAATCTTCTAATCAATTAAGCCTTAGGTTTCTTCTTCCATTAAAAACGATAATATTAATTTGTGATTTTAAATAAATAAATTAAAAAACAAAATTACCTTAATGCTCTACGCAACAAATAGCTTGTATTACAGATAATTCCTCACCACAACAGGAAAGTAATGAAAATATTCATATAATCAAATTAGGAAATCAAAAGCACAATATCAACCATAGCAATAATAAACAATTGCAAAGGGATAAAACTCTGAGCATCCAGCTGCTTAAAGTGCATGATTTATATATTCAAAATATATTACACATATCTTAAATGCAAATTATTTATTTGAGTTACTGTTTTTAGTTACCTAAAGTATTTTTGGGTATTTTCTCCACAAATTAGATTATAATACAGTATGTATTTGATTGAATTTTGATATTATTATTGTTAAAGTATAATATTCTTAGAAAATTTTAAATAGTATTCTAAAAAAAGACATTAATTAAAGTCAGAGTCATCAAATATGTAATAACACTGGAAATTTGATAAATTTACATAACTCTCAATAAAATCTTGATATTTTAAGTCTAAACAACAAAATGAATTTAAATAATATAAAAATATTCTTACACTTGAAATGAAATGTTTAGAAAATAAACCAGCATCATTATCTTATTAATTTCTAGATAAATTAGGTGAAGGGTATAAATAATAATAAAAGCTTAAGTTCTTTTGGATATATTTGGAAAGTTAAGCAAATCTCAACTGGTTAGATATTTGCATGTAAATTAGTAAAAAATACTATGAAAAAAGAGAGGACTCTTCTTTAAAGAGAAATAAAAATATTGTAAATGTTAAAAGGAAAAAAGGGTAATTTTTCATTTACTAACCAAAAGGATTTACCCAATTAATTACATCTGGTTAGGATCTCAGAAATACATACTTCATTATGAATTTACTTGGACAAAATTTAGAATAGATAAAAATGAAATGTGTTAATTTTGATACTGCTTCTATATTGAATACTGGATAATAGATGATTCAATTATTGAAAGATTTACATCATTCAAATATAATCCATAGAGACATTAAACCTGAAAACTTTGTTGTTTTTGAGGATAAATTACATTTAATTGATTTCGGATTATCTAAATTATATATTTAAGATGGAAAACATATAGAATTCAAAGAGAACAAGGGAATGATTGGAACTGCAAGATATGCTTCTATTAATAGTTTAAAAGGTAATGAATAATCAAGAAGAGATGATTTGGAATCAGTAGGCTATTTGTTAATATACTTATATATGGGTACATTGCCATGGAATAATATTGTATCTGATGACAAGACTACTAAATATTATAAAATACAAAGAATGAAAGAAACATTTAGACCAGAAACATACATTAATCTCCCTCCTGAATTACCAAAATATCTTGAATATGTAAGAAAATTGAAATTTGATTCATAACCAGATTATGATTATTTATTAAGACTATTTAAAAGAGGAGATGAAATTACTATAACTCCAAAATTGTAAATTTAATAAAACCATATAATAACTAAATCTAATTTAGTGCATAAGAAGAAAGTAGAAAAAACTCAATGTTTGACTACACGAAAATTGATTAATTAGATTGAAACAACTAGTCATCGAATAACCTATGAAGAACTTAGTTCAGATGGATCAGATATAATGGAGGAATTAGACAACAATGAAATAATCTAATTGAAAAATCTATCTGTAGGTAGAAAGTAACCAAATATTATAAATAAAATGAACAAAGTTAGAATAGGATCAGATTAAATATTTGAAATAGAAAATAAATTAAAGTATTAGAATCCTATATCATTAAAATAACTATAATGATTTTATTATTGATTATAAATATAAAATTTAAATATATTAGTAACAAATGGACCTTTAATTTTCATTCTAAGTTGTTAATTTGTCATAGAATTATTAAATTAGGTTATCTTAACCAAAAATAGTCAATACTCAATTATACTATTAGAATAAAAATGAGGTAAATGGAAAAAAACTAAGAGATGCTAATCTATATTATCCCTGTAGAAATATTTAGACTAATTAAAATTTTTTAGCTTAATTAATATACATAGAGCCCAATAAAAATTCTTAATAAGAAATAGCAGTATTTGATTTGTTTTGTAAGCATCCTCACACAAATATAATCAAAATTTTTGATCTTATAGAAAAGGATCATTGGTATGTGATATAAGAAGATATAACTTTGAATTTAGAGGAATTCATGAAGATTCGATAATAATTATCATTATCACTAAAGATAAATTTTTTTTAATAATTGATTTCAGGATTCAAACATTTAAAATTGCATAAAATAATATTAAGAGACTTATAACCTAAACATATTCTAGTCAAAGTTATAAGAGATGATGAGTATATACTTAAAGTAAGAATATAATATATTTTTAGATATCTGATTTTAGGTCTGCTGAAATTACAGAAAATGGAAAAATATAATCTATAAATGGGATGTCTGATTTTGCAGCACCAGAAACATTCATAGAGGGAGAAACCTTAACAAATTCTTGTTGTGTTTATACAGTATAATATTTATAATAAAATAGTTGGGAATGCTTTTATATTATATTTGTAATGATGGAAAGAAACCTTTTTAAGCAGAATCATATTAGGATTTTATATAGAAGCAAAAGGAATTTTGTTAGACTTTATCAATCTAATAATATTAAAATAAAGATGATGATTAGTTGAGAAAATATTATAAAGAAATGCTTATTTATGATAAAAATAAAAGGAATCAAACTTTTTACAATGAATTCTGTTAAGATTATTTTCTATTGGATAATCTATATTTTTTAAAAAGATCATCCTAAGTTGGAGAAGGATAATAGGGAACAGTTGTTGATGCTATTAATATAGAAACATAAGAAAAATTAGTATGTAAGATGATTCAAAAAAAAGTATTATAAAATGATGAAGATATGAGAGAAATATAAGTCTGTGAACATCTTAAAGGGGAACATCATTAAAACATAATAAAAATAATCAAAATAATAAAAGATCCATAATGGTATTTTATATTTTTTGAAAAATGTGAAAAGAATATGAAATAATTCATTTAAGAAAATAAGAATTATTTAACAGATTTAGAAATTATAGATTTTTTATCATAAATAATTTAAGGGTATAATTTTCTTAAATAGAAAAAAATTGTTCATAGAGATTTGAAACCAGAGAATATTATGATTAAATTTGATAACAACAATAATAAAATTTATAAAGTAATTAATATATATATTTTAGATAATTGATTTTGGAGTATCTAAAATAGTTTCATCTTAAGATTTAGCGTGTACAGATGTGGGTAGTCTACTTTATAAAGCACCTGAAATTTTAGAAAATGAAGATGGTTATACTAGTCAATGTGATATATTCTCAGTAATATTTTTATTGTTATTTTAAGTTAGGAGCATTGATGTATTATATGATGTATAATAAAGAATACATAAATGCAAAAAGCTTTATGGAAATTGCTTAAAGTTAGAAATAATTAAAAATCCATCCATTTAAATGTCCTGATACAATGAGAGTATAAGTTATTAGTTATTTAAGAATATTGATATAAAATAATTGATTGAAAAGATGATTGTATTTGATCCAGCAAAAAGGATTAGTTGGGAATAATTAATGGGTTACAAATTATCTAAAGATTATCTCGATATTTTAAATGATATTTATTCTTTTTTGTTAATTGCTCTATAAACTGAACAGTTACTTTATGAAATATAACCCAATTATAAAGATAATGTAATGCTTACTGAAGATATTTATGCTCATAGGAGTATACTTTTGAAATTTATAGAATTAACATTTTAGAAAATAAATCAATCATTTTAATCAAATTCAGTCTCATTTAATGAGACTGAATATAAAATAAATTAGAAATTTAATATTGATAGTTGGAAGATGGATAATAAATGGAATAAATCTAATTAATTATTATAATAAAGATAATAAAAATTAGAAAAAAAATAAATCACTTAATCTGTTTAAGCTTTGAATGTTATATAGAATATGGAAATTAAAAATTCTGAAATACCTTTGAATTTCAAGATAGTACATAGATTTTACATGGATTTACCAAATTTATTAAAAAACCCTATTATTCTATAAAATGAATCAATTTAATTAAAATATCATTTATTGAAAATGAGAAATTTGTTTAATGATTTTACTTATGTTTACATTTTAGGACAAAGTGTTTCAAAGTAATATAATGAAAAGATATCAGAATAAGAAATGTAGACATATTTCAACTCAAATAACTGAAAATTAAGTATTATATTTAATTATTAATTAATTAATAATATTATGTACAATTAAATATTAATAATGTTATTCTTGATAATATATTATTATTAAATCAAAAATTATCAATGATTCAAAAGTATTTGATTTAATAGAATTTGTTATTGCTCTATGTAAATAATATCAATTGTAAAGTAAATTTTATATAACATTAAGTCATAATCTGATTAATTATTAAATTTATGAGTGCATATATATTTTTTTACATATTCAATCATAATTATTTTACAATAATTTAAATAAATTGCTATTTAATATTAGAAATGTTAGTAACCACTTTTAATAGAAGAATGAACTAATTATTATATTCTCTTTAAGACAAATAAGAACATATAATATAGCAAAATATCCTTGATTTATATAATTACATTTTGGATCCTGAATTTAATTAATATTTATTCCAACTTTGGTAATTATTGTTCATTTTATCTATAGTTATCTATTTTATGTTACAGAAGATAAAATGTTAAAAGAGCTACTTTATAATTATGCATTAACAAATAATGCAAATTATTATAGATTATAATGGACATTAATGGCATTAAATGAGAATTCTAATTATGAAAATGTTAAAAATGGCTTTTCCACTTTTATTAATGTAATTTTATTGAAATTTATGTTAAATTAGTAATTAAAAGAAGAATATGTTTTAGAACTTGGAACATAAATAGGAAATAATTAAAAAAGTATTAATAACATAGATTAAATGATGAAAAATTGTATCAAAAGTTATAGGGAAATATAGGATAAAATTATATTTAATTTGATAGAAAAAAGTTTGAGATTGAAAAAAATAGATATAGAAAACTAAAAGGATCATATGAGTAGATTTTTATCCTAGATTAATAAAATGATAGCAAATTTGAGAATTTAGGAACAGCCTGAATTTAGGGGATTGACTATTCCATTTAATTATGGGAATTTAGATTCTTTTTTAATTGTAAATTTGTTAGAAGATGAATTTACTTGTTTTAATACTGCAAAAAGAGTTCCTTATAAGATTATTATTGAAACAGTAAAGTATGCCATTAATTAAATTATCAATTAGTCCATCAGAGTTATTATTGATATAGAGTGTAAATCAATTATGTTAAGAAAATTAATCAGAATTGATTCCTTTTTATGATATAGAAAAGGAAATGAAAACTATTTCATAGATAAAAATATATTAATAATATAATATTGAAGAATTAAAAAAGTATATAATATCATAATCTTTATTTTTAGATTAGCATTTAAGAAAATAGATTTATAAAATTTATCTCATATCCAAAATTTAACCAAGATTAAGGAAAAAGATATTTATGTTTCAAAATCATAAAATAAATCTATTTGGGGTGAAGATTGGAATATTACAAAGTAAAAAATTAAATAAAATTCTTAATATGGAAATTTGAAATCTCATGATGTTAGATAAATTATTATAAAAGGAGGAGATGATCTTAGAAATGAGTTATTGATAATGTAAATGATGAAAAAGATCAATGAAATATTCAAATAGAAATAACTTAAACTTTTTCTAAGACCTTATGATATTATATTAACATCTGCAAATAGTGGAATCTTAGAATTCATTCCTAATACAGTATCTATAGATAAGATCAAGAGAGATAATCCAAATCTTTCTTTGAGATAATTTTACTTAAAAAACTTTGAAAACTTCTCAGATGCACAAAAGAATTTTGCTGAAAGTTTGGCAGGATACTCATTAATTTGTTATTTATTTTAATTAAAGGATAGACATAATGGAAATATTTTAATTGATAATGAAGGTCATATAATTCATATAGATTTTGGATTTGTATTGACATTAACTCCAGGTAATATTGGATTTGAATCAGCTCCATTTAAATTAATAAATGAATATGAGGAATTATTAAATGGTAAAGATAGTGATATTTTTACTTATTATTAAGTTCTAATATTTTCAGGTAATTATAAATATAATTTTATATAGGACTTACTATTTTGTAAGAACATGTGTCAGAATTATTAACTTTTGTAAAATTAATGAATTTCAGCACAAGAAATAATCTTTTGGCTTGTCTTGAAAATTTCAATATGATTGAATTCAAGAAGAGATTTCATGAAAATGTTAATTAAAAGAATCTTTATGCTATAGTAGAAAATCTAGTTAAGAAATCGAGTAACTCTTGGAAAACAATATTATATGATTATTTTCAATACTAAACCAATACTATTTATTATTGACAACATATTATTTTAAAATGAAATAACCATCCTACCGATGCACAGAAAAGCTTTGGAAACCTATAGTTAGACCACCAAGACATAATTATAGACTGAAAGACATGGGAAATGAGATTTTCATGGTTTAAGATACTGTTACTAAACGATTTGACTTTGAATTTTAAAACTCTAGAGGATTGATATTGTAATGCAGGTATTTAACTAAATTATTAACAGTTTATTTGAACCAATAAGAATGTAAGACAAACCACATCCATGTATGATCTATTTACATGGGAACTCAAGCAGTAGAGTGGAAGCTTTAACTATTGTTGAATACTTGCTCCCTAATAACATAGCAGTCTGTGGAATTGATCTATCAGGTTATACTCTTAATTATTATTTATAGGTTCTGGATAATCGTAAGGTGAATACATTTCCTTAGGATATTATGAATCAAGAGATGCTAATGACCTCTATGAATATCTAAGATTAAAAAAAGTAAGTGAACTTCATAATTATAAGTCTAACAGCCTTTCATTACTTAAATTGGATTGTGGGGTAGATCTATGGGTTCAGTGACTGCCATTATTGCAGCAACTCTCAATCAAAATTTCAAAGTTTTAGTTTGTGATAGTCCTTTCTCTAATTTAACTCATCTTTGTTAAGAATTAGCATCAAATAGTTATAATATACCTAGTTGCTTTTTTAATTGTTTCTGGTGTCTCGTGAAAGCCAAAATAAGAAGAGAGGCCAAATTTAACATTGAAGATCTCAATATCTCATAAGTTATTCAAAGTATATATATTCTCTATAATTATATTACTTAGCTCTCCCTAATGATGTATCTATTGTTTTCTTATCAGCAAAATAAGACCAATTGATAATTGAAAAACATCCTAAAATTCTGATGGAAAAATTTAGAGGAACTAAAGTATTGAAACAATTTGAAGGGACCCATAATTCCAAAAGACCTTAAGATATTATGAAAGAAACAGTTAAATTTATCATAATGTAATTTGATAAATGTTCTATGAATTCAAACACAAGCTAAGGAGATACTAAATTATCTAATAACACAAAAGATTAGATACCTATTCCGGATATTGATGCTCCCCTTTTGAATTCAGAAAAACCATATTTATCAAAAATAGATAAGTGATTAAATCTATATTTAAAATTATAATATGTATATTTTATATCAATTATAAATATCATAAATTTAAATATTCAATTATTAGTACGTTTATGTTGTTTTATCATATTTTAAATATCATCCAGCACTTTAATCTTACTTTACTAAACTTATTTTTATTAAATAATATAATCTTTAGTCTTAATTGCTTCTCTCTCATCTTGAATTCTTTCATTCTCAATCATTTTCATCTTGTCTTCTAACTTTTAATATATATGAAAACTTACATATCTTTACTCATTCTATAATGTTTTCTGATTTTATTTAGATTTTAGATATTTATTTTTATAAATTTCTATTTATTCCTCATTTGCAACTTATTTTTTTTACATTTCCTATATAAATATTTTAGATTCATTTAAATGATCCTATTATAAATTTAATTGATTTTATAAATATTCTATTTATTATTCCATTTATAATTATTTCTATTATATACATATATTATTACTTCTAAATGCTATTAATTAAGATAGGATATATCATTATCTGATTCATATAATAATTATTACAATCTTTTATTGTCTTAGTTTAATTATTCTAAATCTTGCAATATTTATGCTTTCTCTTCTTGATCTAATTGATATTGCTAATCATACTGAGCCAATTTATCTTCATGAATTTTAATTAAAGATTTTAATTATTCTAATTCAGACTTTAATTATTTAATATCTTAAATATAACAATTTGCTTCTTTTATTGCTTAATCAGTTTTATTCTTTTGATCATCTAGTTATCCTTATAATATTATATATTCTTTTTATTTCTCTTAAATTAAATTATTAAATGTAAATTCTTGTTGCTATTTTTAATTAATTAAATTTTCCAATTATTAAATTTAATTGTTCATATTTTTGATCTTCTCTTTTTTTTTATTAATTTATGTATTTAATTCTTGCTAATATGTTACTTTATCAGATTATAATTTATTTAAGTCTTATTAATGATGTGTTTCATTAATTTTAATCAATTTTTCTAGATCTTCATTCTTAATAATTAAATTATCAATATTTAATTGTAATATTTTATTTTCTTCAAAATGCTCTTTTATTTTTGATTCTAATATCTAAATAGTTTATTTATCCTCTTTTATTTCAATTTCAAGATATCGAAATTGTTCATCTTTAGATACAATAGATTATTTAATTATAATATTTTCATCTTTCAATTATTTATATCTTTTTTCTTGATCCTTGCTAATTTATTTATTTGTAACTCATACATTTCTGTAATTAATGCATCATAAAGTCGTTAAACTCTATCCAATTCCATCTAGAATTAGCCTTTTTACTCATCCATCTTTACATCAAATATTTTAGATTAATCCTTTAATAACCTAATTTTAGTTTTCTTTTTCTAAATCTTAATTTTCAATTGATTTAATTATGATTTCAAATCTTCATTTCCTTTATTTTACTAATTTAATTGTTCTCTCTCATATTTTTATATTATTTCTTCTTTCAATTATAATATCTTTTCTTAATCTTTTCCTTCCTACATATAATCTCTCAAAGCTGCCTATACTTTTGAGAGACTGCTCTTACTTTCAATTTTGAATTGAGATCTTTTAATTTAT